TCTGTTGAAGTCCACGAGTCATAAAAGAGCCAAGGTTACCTACCCCTGTCCTAGACCCCCAGAAATCAGTTCCACTGCTGATGATTATATCTGTGGAGTTATTTTTGGCAACTTTATGGAAATAGATGCACTGTTTTCTTGTAGTTTTTTTAAACTTCCTAATATTACAGATCTTCACATCTATGGGGTTTGGGGGGAGGGTACAATATGGAAATGGTTGGCCATTGGAGGCATTTTAAAAAACTTTCCAGTCTAGCTTATGGCTGGGATTTTCTTGTGGTAGCCCCTCCAAATATTATACTAAAATACCTTAGCAAGCAATGCTTTCTTTAATGTAAGAATTCCCAAGCTGTTTATTAAAAGCAGACCTTTGACCTGAAGTTATCACTAGTTAGACAATCCTCAAACGAATTTTAAAAAAACACCCCAATTGCCCAATTCTCCTCTGGATTCATAGTTTATGCCAAGATAATGTATATTTCTGTTTTGAATATTGTATGTAAACTAGGGATTGGGAGATCCTTTTTATGTGTCCACGTGTGTGTACCTTTAGATCATTGTTGACATCTGGTGATAGCCTGGGCAAGTCCCAGCAATTTTCTTGGCAGCATTTTCATGCCCAGTTTATGATCCTTTTTATGGCAGTTGTTAAGTGAATACTGTGGTTGTTAAGCAAACACCTCAGTTGTTAAATGAACCAATGGGTTGCTATGGGCACATTTGCCAAAAACTAGAAGTAAACACTGGTTTTCTTTGAAACTATTGTAAAACACAGTCATGAAACCACAGGGACACTGCAAACAGCTGTAAATGCAGTCTGGTTGTCAAGTACCTGAAGTTCAATCAGGGGGGTCCTAACCATCAGAACCTCAAATCCAGGTCATAAGTAGCCCCTAGGTAGGTCATCATAACTTCAAATGGTCAATAAGCAACCAGTCAAGGACTATCTGTACAAACTTCTCCATTCCATCTGGAGAAGTTTCTTTTCAAAGAGCCCAGCGCTTTTCAAGAGGTAGTAGGTTTTTAAAGAGTTAAAACACTGGATAAATACTTTGCATAGAATACCCCAAAGCACACATTTTGGGGAGAGAGAAGTTCCCTGAGGATGGGCTCCAGCACAAGTCCAAAAGCGTGGAAGACTTAGCCTCTGGTTCCAGTGACCAGCCCAGACTGGATCCTGTTTTAAAGAGTTAAAATAACTGAAGAAATAACCCCTTGGAAGTAAGTGTGACCTATATTTGATCTCATTTTTCTTCCCAAGAAAAATAAACAGCAGCCAAACTATTTCCCAGATAACATCTGTCCTGCCATCATCTCCCATGATTCCATTTAAGTAAAATCCTCAAATTTGTTTCCAGGGAAATTGGTGGTATCTACACCGCAGTCTGAAAAAACAGCTAAAATCTTTTCTGCAGAATAATGTATTATTTATCTATTTATATATATACATATATTATTTTGAAAAGACTTTCTTTGGAAGGAAGTACTCCTTTTGTACTCTTTTTGAGAAGAGTACAGAACAAGTTCTTAATCTGCAAGTGCAGCTCTTGCATTCTGGAAAATGGGAAAAGGTTCAAGAAAAGGATATCAAGCCTTCCCCTCAATTTTCAATCAGGTGGCAGGAGAGAAGAATTGTTTTAACAGGCAACCTCTGAACAATATTCCATTTAGCAGGCTTCATATCCACGACTTGTAGAACTGTAGAGTACGAATTCAGTAAAGGATTTCCATGGTCATATGTATCTCTCTCTGGAAATAAATCACATGTAGGACAAGCTTCTCTTTTTTAGGCTCTTGGTTAGACCACAATAGACCACAAAAGAAGCAGGAAGGAAGAAACAAAAGAAATTAGAAGAAAAATGTCTCTAAACACAGCAGCTGACTTTCTTTCATTGGCCTAAATGCATGCCAGGCTGATTAAGCTTTTTAAGATCCTGCCTGGAATTTCCCAGTAATGTAATAATACTGCTTTCCGAGTAATTTTTCCTAAAAGTAGCGGTGAAGCAAGGAGGGGTGGAGTGAGGAGGTGGGCTGCCTGCTTCATGGTAAAAGAAGAGGAAGCAAATAAGAAATTCGATTGGTCGTATTTTGGACGAGCAGAAATGGGGAGACTGGGCTGTGACCCCTTTAGAAAAGAAGCCAGCAAACATATTGTGGCCAATGAGGTTTGCACACTTCATTTTTGGTTTCTGTCTTGGGCAACTGAGGTTTTGCAGAGGGTGCCATCAGCATGATGTCACCAACATGGAAGGATCAGTTTCAATTTAAAAAAAAATATATTCAGTGTTTCTGGTTCTGTTTTAAGTACGCTTAGGCCAACTTATTTCTCTTCAGTTTTCATCTGCACTCCAGGGCTGGGCTTTGTAGCTAAAACTCAGCAGAAGGAGTCTGAGAACTGCACAAACTGATAATAGGTGGGCACCCTGTATTTTTGCCCCAAAGGAAAGAAGATACAGGAAGTCCTCGACTTATAACCACAACTGAGCCCAACATTTCCATTGCTAAGCAAGGTGGTTGTTAAGTGAATTTTGCTCCATTTTACAACATTTTTGTCATAGTTGTTAAGCAAATCAGTGCAGTTGTTAAGTGAATCACGCTGTCATTAAACAAATCAGGTTTCCCCAATGACTTTGCTTGTCGGAAGCTGGCTGGGAAGGTTATAAATGGTGATTACAAATGGTGGTTCCAAGGTTGGTAAAATAAGGGCCCAGATTGTTGGGGGCCGTATCAGAGAGTACTATAAAGCACTATGGCGTGGTTTATAAGTATAAGATCTATTGCACTTACATGACCACTGGTAAGTACAACTATCATAAATACATGCCAGTTACCAAGCATCTGAATTTTGGTCATGTGACCATGGAGATGCTGCAATGGCTGTGTGAAAAATGGTCATAAGTCACTTTTTTCAGTCTTGTAACTTTGCACGGTCACTAAATGAATAGTTGTAAGTAGAGGACTACCTATACTAACACTGGGAGTCTGTGGTGTAGAGCAGGGGTCCCCAAGCCCCGGCCAATGGACCAGTACCAGGCCACGGCATGCCAGCAACCGGTCTGCACAAACAAGCAAAGCCCCATATGTGGGATGCAGACAGCACACAAAACCACACACCCTCCGGTCCATGGAAAAAAACCTTTCTCCATGGAACTGGTCCCTGGTACCCAAAAGGTTGGGGACCTTTCTCCATCTTCCTGGGGCTTTCATACAAGGAAAAAAGCAGCAGCAGTGAGCAGAAATGGGGAAAATACAAACAAAAGCAATCTGTTTGACATCATAGAATTGGAATCATAGAAGCAGTGCTTTTTTTGTAAAAAGAAAAGGTGCCGGAACTCACACATGTCATACAACCCGCCTTGCCTACCCTACAAGGTTCCATCCAAAAAAGGTGCCGGAACTCCGTTCTGGGCGTTCTATGACAAAAAAAGCCCTGCATAGAACAGAACTATAACAATCATAGACAGCATGTTCACAGCACTCATAACTACATCAACCAAAGATCAAAGTGCCAGGCTTAAAAAATACTAACTTTGGCAGGTGCTAATCTTAGTTTTATGGGATTTTATGATCTGCAAAAGCTAGCCCCTTTTATTTATGATTAATCATACTGTGCAATCTCTGAATATGGGTTAATTCAATAATCAAGGGAAGCATGTTGTGTTAACAGAGCTATAAGATGAGCTTAAGGAAGCGATGCAAGACACTAACTCTAGTGTCAATCAAGCATTATAGAAACCCCTTGGAAGGGGAAAAGCCTGTTTCTAACCATAGAAAGAAAAGCTATAGTCAGAATCAAGTGTCTGGGAAATACTTAGGAACCTAGAAAAGTGAGAAAATCTTTTATGTCTTGTGGATGGGGCCAAGCCAGTTGAGAAGCACCATGTCACAATAGCTTCATTGGAGAGTTATCTGATAACTATGGCAGTGCAGCCTGCTACAGAGCATGTCATCCACATGGACTTCCTAAGAGTGCTGGATGTGACCCTCAGAGACACACATAATTAATGGATTCTGTGTTCACACAGTACACTGATAAACTAAGCAAACATGAGGGCTTTGAGCAACATATCCAGCAACAGAATGACCGACTAAGGTTAAAACTAACCAAAATATCTGCTTGTGCAAATGCGACTGCTGGGTTTTTAACTAATCTAATTAAGTATGTTGAGTAAACCCAGTTTCCCAAACATTCTCTCACACCCACTGCCAAAAATGTTGCAATGAGGACACCAGGAAATCTTTGCAGAACAAGCTGAATAGAAATACAATTTATTCGATGTGTCATGCATTTGTGTTACATATAAAGTACATATAAAGTGCGGGTTTTTTTTAATTTAAAAAGGTATTTGTCTTTGTCAATTTGCTTTTGCACTCTTTGATTAGTTCATTGGAAATCTGATCAATCTTGGGATTGGCAGCTAGATTTTAAAAAGTCATGAATATATAAATAAAGGGAATAAAATTTCTTTCTAATGTCTCCTGGGAGAACCTAGAATATCCTAGAAGGGATTTTTTAAACTTCCCTTTTGCTTCCATCATAGCTGTGTTTGAACCTGATGAGAGTGGTGGGCATTGAGGCTTCTGTTTACTTTATGGAATTTCATCGGAAGTTTGGATTTGACCATTGGGAAAGATTGCAGCTGGGTCAAAGAAACAGACCAGGACTGTTTCTGGAAGAGTCAGAATTTTTTATAGTGGACTACAGATGGAACCATAGATAAGAGCAACAGGATTCTTCTTAGTTGTCACTGATGACAACCTTGTTAACTACTACTGAACATTTCCAGGTAATGTTTTGGCTAAAAGAAAATCTGACGTTGAATTTGAACCTGCAATTGCACTTGCTGTTCTACCCGATGTCTAATTTTATAGCGTTGGACTAATTCTCTTCTCTGCACTTTTTCTTAAGGTGCAGACCATATTTTGGGATTCGCAGTAAAGAGACAAACTCAGCAAAAGAGACGGGGACAAAACTAAATTAAATTTCATCTTTATTTTGGAAAGTACCAAGTCACATCTTACTGGGATAAGGATGCTAATAAATACTGTTGTGAACACAGTTTTTAACAATTATGTATTAATAGAAATACAATATAAATAGAAATATCACGTATTCATTTTCAGATAAGGATGTGAAATGCCCATGACAATATATAAATAAATACAAACAAATGGGTGCAGAACTGGATTCAAAAATAGTTTTCACAGACTGAAACCTCTAGCTTGTGAAATCTCTGCTCTCAATTACAATCTATGTTTAGACTTTCCTGAAAAATACCTCATAAATACAGTGAAATCTCTGTAACTAACAATTAGATTTCCATCTTTATTTTCATGATATCCCATATACCATTCTGGGAGTTACAGTTTGAAAAAGTGCACTGGGACTTTCCCTAGTGGTTAGGTTAGAAGATGGTATAGTCCTGAACTTGAATAAATTTCAATAGTTGAATAACACATTTAATTTAGCAGCACCATTAGAACTCATAATGAGATGATTTTTATTTAAGAATGGGAGCGATGGGCTCTTTAATTTCAAAAGCATAGCTTTCAAACATTTTAGATGAACAATGCACATGGTCTTCAGCCACATCAGGGTAAAGCAGAGTAATTTTCAAACTAATTTGGGGAACAATCGGATCTGAAGTTGGAAGATTTAGCTAAGAAAGGAAGCCCTTCAAGTGTTGATGATAGAAGTCCACAGCATGAGCATGAGTAACAGGACCAGGAGATTCCTGCCTTCTAACCTTGGAATCTCCTGGCAGGGGCTCTGTTCAGCCACCAAATTGTCAGAATTTATGGGGATTGTGACAAAGGCACAGTTGAGCATCTAATGTAGTTGTTTCCCAGATGGAGTTTCTCTGTTGACATCAATATGGCAAAAGCTCAGCAGTTAGGATCTTCATTCTTCTTTGAAAGATCTCACAATAGTCTTGACCCATTCTTCTCTTGGGTTAACACAGGCTGGTGTACCATTCTTTAGCAAAAACCTATCAGAAAGTAAGATAATTTTTACAGTTTAAGCTATATTTTCACCAGCTGGGTTCACATAGCACACTAAGCTACAATTTGTTTAAATATATAGTTTGTTAAAAAAAATTGGCTGGGTTTAGAAAAGCATGCTGAGTCATGATACCATATTTATGAGCTACAAAGCAATGAATGGATTTTATAATACTTTACTACAATAGGGCATTGTTCTTCAACCTTGGAATTTTAAAATGTGTGGACTTCAACTTCCAAAATTTCTCAGTCAGCCATGCTCATTGGGGAATTCTGGGAGTTGAAGTCCACATATCTTAATGTCACCAAGGTTGGGAAACACTGCAATAGGGTATGCACACCTTCAAAAGTTTCAGACCTTAGACTTCCGGTTCCGGATTGTGGCGTGTGCAGTCGTGCGGAGAGCTCCGTCTCTTAGCCGGCTGCTTTCCCTCCACCGGTAGACCCTTAATCGGGTCGAAAAGTCACCCTGGAGGGGTGACCACCGTCGAGGAGGCCCTCGTTGACTGCAGAAGGGCAGCAGCTCCTTCCGCAGTCTGAGCCAGCTCCTTAGGGCATTCGGAGAAAAGATCAGCCAGTAAAATGGCCAATCACCCAGCTGCACCAGCCGAAAGTCAGAAGAACAGCTAAGCGTGAAGAACCACCATGAAGAAATCCGGATGAGACCTTTCCTTCCCTCTCTTAGCCCCAACTATTTTCCTGTAAAAAGCCTCTGAATGACTTCCCTGCCTTAAGAGAGCGGTGTTTGTCTACTTGGGATAAAAAGCTTTGAACAAAACTATAAAACAGTAAATTTTTATTGGATATTTAATTTTTGGGACATTTTGGGGCCCTGAAAAAATCCTTATCATAGAACATTATTATTATTTTATCTACTATGCTGGAGATATTTGGTTTTTTTCTCTCTCTATTTTCCTAATGAGATAAAATCCTTTTAATTCGGAAAAAAAGATTTTACAGCCTACTGAGAACATCTTGTGGTGAAAAGTGTTACTGCACTTGTACTTTCTCTTGGTGTTTGAAGATGGATTTGACCTTCAAATGATAATAAAAGGGAAAAGATAAAGCCCTTGAAACAGCTGTGGGCTGAATTTGCTTACTAGAAATTGTGGAGGTGGATATTTGTTGACTTTTAATAAATATAGCTTCTACTAAAAGACTAAAAGACTATTTTATCATGGAAATGGAGGAATCTTTCCCACAGCTTGATTATGAGCTTATATTGGAAAAAATCCTGGAAGCTACAGAGTATATGAAATCTTGGAGAAAAAATAAAGATCATATTGCAGAACCACAAACTGAATTTCAAATCTTAAAGACCAACCTATAGGCCAAGGAACAATAAAGGAGGAACAGATTAGCTTTAAAGAGGCCTATATGCAACAGTGCACACAATTTAAAGAAATGGAGAAAGAAGCTATTGATCAATTGAACTCTAGAAAAACGCTTGACTTAAAATCTCAAATTGAGACTCTAATTGATCACTCCACAAGTCAACTAATCACTACAGAAGAGGATATTTCACAAGTCTATGTACAAATTATGGAGAACTTTGAGGATCAAAGAATGACTTCAACTGAAATATTTGCAGTCTTAAAAGCAACAGGAACTGATTTCCAGATGCGATCTATTGAAAGCTGTGATAACCTGGATAATCAACTAGTAACTACAACATGGAACAAAATTGACTATACTATCCAGATGATACTGGAAGAAGGGGAAGAGAACTTAGACCAGATTGATGTGTCGATAAATACCCGTACTCAAATACTGAGATTTGATTATACAGATGTGGTATTATGGAACAGAAAGAAAGCTAGAGTTAGATTTTAAAATGTGATTTAAAATTTTACTTAATGGGTTAAAAAGGCTTTAGAGATCTGGATTGATTTAACAATTAACTGAGTATGTGAAGTTAGCAAGATGATATTTTGTGTAACAATATGCTTGTTTTAGATATGATAATTATTTGGACGAGATTTAAATTTTACTTAATGGGCTGAAATGATTTTTTTCCTATAGAAATAGATTGACTGATAGATTATATATCTAAAATAGAGTAGAGTAATATTTTTATTTTAAGTAGGATAATTATTTTGTAATGGAAGAAGAATTAGAGAGATTTGTGATAAGAGAAGAAATGGTACTAATCAATGATCTATTCTAAGAAATAGAATATATGTGGAAATATTAGAATGTTACTGTCGGAATATTATGTGTATTGTAGAAGGGATACCCATATTATTATTGAATAATAATATGTTTATTCAAGATTAAATTGGAATATGGTAATTGTAAATTAGTAAAGCTTAAAAACAGGATTTGGATTTACATAGATGTAATGTTATTGATGATTGTTTTGACTGATTGAATTTCATGTAGAAATGGATTAATCTAAATATGTTATACTATTTGAGGGAAATAGAGAGGAAATCTGTAATGAATTAATTTGAGTTATATATGTATGTCTTTGTTTTTGGATGACTGATTACCCCATCACCACGGTGTTTCTTGTGCACTCAGATGTAAAAATTAAAAAACCAATAAAACTTGTTTATAAAAAAAAAGTTTCAGACCTTACACAGACAGAGTATCTCTCTACTGTACATTCAGGGTTCTATGCCTGATGAATTAGACTTTAGTTCATTGAAGGGACTGCAAAGGACATCAGTTTCCTTGCTCCCAGACTTACACTAGAGATGGCAATCTGCAGGATCCACTGGTGAAGAAAAAACTTTTCACAAGATGCTTCGGAATTTTTCTCTCGGTGTAACTTAGGCAGCAGATGGTTGAATGAAAGCCAACTGTAAGAGATGTTAAAGGTGCCAATATTTAGTTTAGCTCAATTATAAAATATCAGCCTTTTCTATACAAGGTCTTTGAGACCTTTGTTTCCTGGGGTTGACCATTCATCATCACACTGACCACATTTAACTCCCACAGCTCCATTTGAATCTGATGGATGTAGATAGATAGATAGATAGATAGATAGATAGATAGATAGATAGATAGATAGATAGATAGATAGATAGATAGATAGACAGACAGACAGACAGACAGACAGACAGACAGACAGACAGACAGACAGACAGACAGACAGACAGACAGACAGACAGACATGATGGATGGATGGATGGATATAGATAGATAGATAGATAGATGATACATACATGATGGATTAGATAGATAGATAGATAGATAGATAGATAGATAGATAGATAGATAGATAGATAGATAGATAGATAGATAGATAGATAGATAGATATAGAGAGAGAGATAGGCAGATCAACCGATATCATTGGCTTCTAGCCTATAAAAGACATCATTCTCAGTGAAAAAACTAGCTGTCGTTATTTTTAAATACATTTAGCTTACCAGTGACTCTGATTGTAGAATCTATTAATTCAGAGTATACGAAACTAAGATTCCTAACCACTGAGTAATTTCTATTTAAAGTGAACTACCACTTTTTAAAATGTCACTATTCTGAAGATATACAGTAGCTGTCTAATCTTTTAAAGATGTTTCTATGTTACTTTCAGACATATTACATGCTACCTATCAAATACACCATCCACAATTGTACATTTGTTTGTTAAGTTCAGACTGAAATTCATTTAGCTCTAAGTTAACTCACATGCATTAGTTACAGGCAGAGAGATGGAGGCCACCAGAAAGAGGAACATGAAGGCTACCACTGAGATCTTCATGATGAACAGCGTTGAAGAGCAGACTCGGGAGTTTTGAAAATACTGTCTCTTTTGTTTGATGCTCCCTATTCTTGAATGCTCCTTTTATAGAACTTTTTGATTATGCTCATGGGAAAGTTTATGTGATTTTACTCATAAGGGAAAATACCAGAAAACCATTCCTGAGAAACAGAATTGATATCATGGAACAAGTGTTGCAAACAAAAAAAAGAGAAGTTTCAGGGAACACCTCATGAAATCATAGAAAGTAGCCAAAGACATCTTTTCTTGTGAAGGATTATTTCTACATCTCCTCAGTGGCTGGTGGCATGGCAACCATACTCAAAAACTAAGAATGAAATAATTGCAAAAGTTTTTTTCTTCTATTTATGGTGATCACCCAAAAATATATGCAAAAACTATCATATAGGCCAGGGGTAGGCAACCTTGGCTCTTTTATGACTCGTGGACCTCAACTCCCAGAATTCCTGACAGCATAGCTGACTCAGGAATTCTGGGAGTTGAAGTCCACGAGTCATAAAAGAGCCAAGGTTGCCTACCCCTGATATAGGCCAATGCTGCCACATTCTGCCTAAATCCAAAAAAAGGACCAATATATTTAAATAGATGACCTCCAAGGTCCCTTCCAACTATTATTATTATTATTATTATTATTATTATTATTATTATTATTATTATTATTATTATTATTATTATTACAATGTATCCTTCTATCAAATACACCAAGGAAAGATACATATCAATGGGGAAGCTAACCAGACATTTTTAACAAGAGGGCATTCTTGATCTACAGATCCCAGTTCAACACACCCTTTGTACAATTCATCTTCCAAGCTTGATTAAACGTTCTATGTGCTGCCCATCTGTGGAATAGGAATCCCTCTGCACCATCTAAGCCTCATTGAGTTGGAATTTCTTGTCTCTGGGAATTCCCTGGATGTACTTTGGCAGCCAAAGGTAAAAATTAGATGAGGACTAGAGCTCCCTTTGAGATTCAAACTTGACTACTTAAATCTGTCAAAGCCTTTAATTTTCAGTTCTTGTAACACAAGCTAAAATAATTGAAAGTTTTCAGAGACACAGTTTTTACTCATGGGACCTCTCCTCATTCTGTTTTGGGTTATATGAAACAACCTGGAGGCCAAAAAACCACAAATAAACATTTTGTCCCAATCCTAAGAATATTGCCCTCAGATCCTAGGGACACTGCAACTGTCATAAATATGAAGCAATTGCCAAGCATCCAAAAATTGATCATGTGACCATGGGGATGCTGCCACAGACATAAATGTGAAAAACGGTCATGTCACTTTTTTCAGTGTCATTGTAATTTCGAACAGTCACTAAAGGAGTAGAAGTAAGTCGGGAACTACCTGTATTTTTTAAATGCTTTCTTTAAAAATTTAAGGCACTGCTATATTACTAAAAATTTATATACAGCTGCCCTTTTGAAAGTTTGAAGGGGAAACTAGTTTGTATTGGCATAAACGAGGGATGAATCTCTGGAAGAGCACCATATGGCCTTTGCTGAATATTATATAGATACGTGAAGGAAGAAACCACTGATCACCCAAATAATTCTTTGCCAAGCATTTTACTTGAAATGGTAGCTTTCTATAAGAAAGTTGTGAATTATTTTTTATAGACGACTCTGTCAATCATGCAAATCCCAGTCTATAGAGTACAGCAGTCCACAAAATCAGTCCCACGGGCATTTATTTTGGGAAAGATATTCTTAATGTTTCCTGCTTTGGTTTTTTTTTATAATAACACAGAAAACCAATTGGCTTCATAGAATAAATCAGCATATATTCATGAATAGCCAGTTAACAGAGGTTTGAAATGTAATGTTATGGCTTTTTAATACAAGTCCGCACAATGAAAATTTAATTAGATAACAATGAATTAGCTCCCAGCCATTATCACTGAACTAGATTAGTCTTTAACAAAATCAATGACCATTTCATCTAATTCATATATACATTCTTAAGATATAACACTCAGTTCAAACATGGAGAATGGGCAGGTCTGCCAGTGGCAAAGAGCCAAGAAAAAGTGTAATCTACAAAGCATGCAGCCCATCAAGAACAAGACAGGTTATGCAAATCAACCACAGAGGAACACCCAGACAACAAAGGAGAAGTTTTTTATTCTGTTTGGGTGTCTGTTTGGGATATTTTTAATAAGAATATTTGGGTAAGGATATTTTGCAATCGTCTGAGATAGGAAAATATCTGTCACACAGTACAGTACTCCAGGAAATGTGTGTGATTTCCCAGGGTGATTGTCTGCTGACATGAGATCTCTCTCTCTCTCTCTCTCATCTATCTATCTATCTATCTATCTATCTATCTATCTATCTATCTATCTATCTATCTATCTATCTATCTATCTATCTATCTCTATCTCTATATATCTATATATTATATTTATATCTATCTATCTCTATCTCTATCTCTATCTTTATCTCTATCATCCATCCATCCATCCATCCATCCATCCATCCATCCATCCATCCATCTATCTATCTATCTATCTATCTATCTATCTATCTATCTATCTATCTATCTATCTATCTATATATCTATCTATATATCTATCTATCTCTATCTGACTCATAGACTCCAAAACAAAACAATAGTAATGGAGGACTTTAATTATCCTGACATCAACTGGGAGACAAACTCTGCACCAAGTGGAAGATCAAACAGATTCCTGACAAACCTAGAAGACAACTTTGTCTCCCAGAAATTAGAGAAGGGAACTAGGGGATCAGCCATATTGGACCTAATTCTCACTAACAGAGATGAAATGATAGGTGTTAAAGCCACAGGAACCTTGTGGGGGGAGTGATCATGCAATATTGGAATTCAACATTATGCAAGCACAAGGAATAGAACACAGTCAAACTAGAGCAGTGATGGCGAACCTTTTAGAGACTGAGTGCCCAAACCGCAACCCAAAACCCACTTATTTATCACAAAGTGCCAGGCCCGCATCAGCATTGTGGTGCCCCAGGGGGGAGCAGGGAGGTGCCTCTGAGTGCCGCCTCTGGCAGGCAAAAACCAGGGGCACAAAAATGGGCCACTGTGCTGCAAGGTGCAAAAACGGCCACTACCGCGCCGCAGGGTGCAGATACAAGGCACTGCATCATGCAAGAATGGGGCAGAGCTAGTGAGTATCATGCAGGCACTATCCCCGCCCCATTTGCAGTGCGTGCGTGCTCGCGGCCCCATGCACGCATGTGCGCATGTAAAATGCTTCCCTCTCCCTTTTCTTCCAGTCCACCAATCGACAATGGTTGGTGACCTCTGCTCTACCACCTCTACTCTAGCTTGCTAGTTGGCCACTTCGCCTCCTTTGTGCTGGGCAGGGCTCCTGCTCCGGTGGCGATCTGATGGACCTGCTGCTGGTGGCAGTGGTATGTGTGCCAACAGAGAGGGCTCTGAGTGCCGCTTCTGGCATGCGTGCCATAGGTTCGCCACCACTGAACTAGAGTCTTGGGCTTTAAGAGAACTAATTTCAATAAACTTAGAGAGAGCTTGGGAAGTATTCCATGGATAAGAATCCTCAAGGGGAAAACAACTCAAGAAGCTTGGGAAATTTTGAAAAGTGAGATTATAAAAGCCCAGACAACCACAATACCAACGAAGAAGAAAAATAACAGCTCTCAAAAGAAATCAGCATGGCTGCATAAAGAACTCTCTGATAAATTGAAGGACAAAAAGGACAAGTATAATAAGTGGAAAGAGGGGCACATAACTAAGACAGAATATCAGCAAATAGCCTGAGCCTGCAAAGATAAAGTGAGGAAAGCTAAGGCTCGAAATGAACTAAGGGTTGCAACAAAAGTAAAAAACAACAACAAAAACTTCTTTCAACATGTAAAAAACAAGAAACAAGTGAAGGAAATGATTGGTCCATTAGTGGGAGAAAGTGACAAGAAGGTGACAAGGAACAGGGAGAAAGCAGAACTACTTGACTCATTTTTTGCATCCGTCTTTACACAAAGGGAAAAAACAGTCCAACCTATCAAAAACAGTACCGTAAAAAACAGATTAGAAACACAAGTTAAGATAGGCAAGAAAATAGTAAGTGAGCACCTGTCCACTTTAGATGAGTTCAAATCACCAGGACCAGATGAATTATACCCCAAGGTTCTGGCAGATGTGCTCTCAGAACCACTGAATTATATCTTTCAAAGATCCTGGAGCACTGGAGGACTGGAAAAGAGCTGATGTAGTTCCCATCTTCAAAAAAGGGGGGAAATGGATCCAGGAAACTACAGAACTATCAGCCTGACCTCAATACCTGGGAAGATTCTAGAAAAGATAATCAAGCAATGAATCAGTGAACACCTAGAGGCAAACAAAGTCATTACTAAAAGCCAACATGGGTTTGTCAAAAACAGATCATGCCAGACAAATCTTATTGTATTCTTTGACCAGGTGACAAAATTAGTGAACCAGAGGAATACTGTGGATATAATTTACTTGGCCCTCAGTAAGGCAACTGATAAAGTAGACCACAATCTACTACTTGATAAGATAGAAAAATGTGGGTTCCAGAAGACAAGCTCAGGATCCAAAAAGATCTTGATACACTTGAACAATGAGTCCTATCCAACAAAATGAGTTTTAATGTGGAGAAAAGCAAAGCTTTACATTTAGGCAGGAAAAATCAAAGGTATAAGTACAGATTAGGTGAGACTTGGCTCAAAAACAATAACTGAGAGGGACCTTGGAGTCCTAGTGGATGATCACTTGAATATGAGCTAGCAGTGTGCAGCAGCAGCCAAAAAAGCTAATACAGTCCTGGGTTGTATAAACAGAGGCATAGAATCAAGATCACGCGAAGTATTAATACCGCTTTATAAAACCCTAGTAAGACCACACCAGGAATACTGCAACCAATTTTGATCACACATTACAAAAAAGATGTTGAGACTTTGGGGAAAAAAATCAGAGAAGAGCAACTAAGATGATCAAAGACCTGGAGACTAAAACTTATGAAGAATGGCTGCAGGAATTGGGTTTGGCTAGTCTAAC